CCCTTAGGCCCGAAACATCAGCCTTCCTGCTCCTATGATGCTGCTTGGCCTGCTGTGTTCATCCAGCTCTACACCTTGTTATCTCAGATTTTCCAGCATCTGCAGTTCCTACTATCTTTGGTACAAGTATCTTGGTACAAATCTTGGATACAAAAGAGGAATAAAAGGAAAAGTACTAGCATTACTTAGTGACTGAAAAAAAAGTTAGAAGTAAGATAATGTTAACATAGTTAAAGGATTGACAATACAGTCCGGTAAAGAATTTCAGATCGATTTTACATTGCAGTAGCATTGCAGCCGCTCAGTGAGCATTCGGTCTGACTGCCCATGCCACGGTCCAGTCCAACAACAGTCCTGCTCCATTCCAAACCTCCATTCCGCTCCACCAGACAATCAGCTGCACCAAGGTAAGATGCGCTGCACTGGAGCTCACTTCTCCTCGCACTGCTCCGGGATACACTTCCCCTCGCACTGCTCAGGGACACTGGGGACTCTCAGGACTACTTCCCCAATTGCTGCTCTAGGACTAGTAAAAAGAGAAATAACACAGAAAAGAAAGAAAAAGAACAGGCAGAGAAGAGGACCGCTGGGTGAATCATTCTACTCTGCTGACATCTAATGCTTTTGGGGTATAAGCACTCCGCAATAATGAGTACACAGCCCTTTCAAACTGATATCACAAACAGTACTTTCCTTCCACCCAACGATTAACCAAGAGTGGAAATTCTAGAAAATGTGCTTATAAATGAAAAAAAACTGAAGATTTTATTTGCAACAGTAAATGTTTTAAATAGTTAAATTCAGGTGGCTTAGAAATTAAATGGGTTCTGAAGCAGTGTTATGCATCCACCTGATGAGAAGCAAGGCCAATTTAAATATTGATTCTCCGAGAAGTTCAGCTAAAACCAAGTTCAGCTAAAACACAATTTCATTTCTTGGACCCCACACCATAAGATATTTCCATTGTATTCTGAGACTCTGAAGTTCTCAATTCTCTCCACAGACAAAAGGAGGTTGTAAAATGGAATAAATTATGATACAAGCTTTGCTGCTTGAGAGAATCTTCTGAGTGTTTTTGCAAGTCATAAATCTTACAAGTGGGCGCTTCTCCGAATATTTCCTTTATGTAATCAATTTGATTAATCAATTGAAATTTCTTTGTCCTCAGCAGAGAAATGATCACCTTCAACATTGCAGGGGAATAAGAAGTTCTATTAATTTCGTTTTGTCAATTTTGAATAATCCCAAAGAAAAACTGAAGTCTTCTTCAGAAAAGTAATATTGTACACCAAACATTAACATTGTTTCACTTTCCATTGAAGTTGCAAGACTTACTGAGTTTATCCAGCACTTCCTGTTTCTGTTATAGATCTGCAGTACTTTGCTTTTATTTGAACAATCCCAATTTCTGCTTTTTACTGGAATTTGTTAATTAATAACATTATGAACAGTTTTTGGAGACTATATAGTTTTTAACATGAGATGTTTAATAGAACTGAAAATTATGTGACATGTTTGTTTACATTGGTCTTTTCCTGGGGGAAGGTTTGTCATCTGCATGAACTATACTCTGTGATGCATTTAGCACAGTGGTTCCCAAACAGTGGGCTGAAACCACAACTGGAGTCAGAGAAAGAGAGCATGGGTTAGCAAGAGATCAGGTCACCCTAATCTTTAATTCCTTTGTGCAGTCCTGGCAGTGGGAAGTCATCAACTATAATACAAACTCCTGGCATCAACGATTTCTTTGTGGGGTCTCCGATGAGGCATGACATGATGTAACTATAGCCGTTAAATACATCTTGAAGCAATGGCAATGGAGGCAGACACAAATTTATGGACG